ACTTCGTCAACTATGTCGATCATTTAGATCACATGACTTAATTTTAGCACAGTCACGGATCACGGCTTCACCATTTACAACTGATACTGGATTTTATTTAAAATTGTATGCTGGGTTGATGCGCAACAAGAATTACTCGAAAATTCTAATGAAGTGTTGCCTCACCAATTATTGGTTATCTGTCATTGATGCGAAGAGGAGCTTGTTAACATTTATCGATACATGAAAAATTAAAATTAATAAAATGACGTCTATGTTATTCTTTATTACATTAAATAATTTTACGTCTTTCTTACAACAAAATTTATTTTCTTTATTATATAGTGAAAAAATAAATAAGAATGAATATGTTCAAAAAAAAGGAACAATTTATGTTCAGTATTTATTCCATAAATTTTATTTATTATTTTAGTAAATATGACGAATTAAACTAACAGTATATTAACGTTTTGATCGCCTGACCAGTACACAATATGGACAATATGGAAATATTAGCTAATATATTTGTATGGTATAAATAGATTTTTTTTATATCATAATTGCAATAATTTATTTGGAATATTTTTAATTTATTTTTTTTTTTATCATTATAACATAATTCCCGTTGTTTTTTGGGGGGGGAGTTTCGGTATCTAATTTAAAAATAACGAAATTTATAAGTTTGAACATATATGTAAATCCCTCAATAGTTTATAAAAATTTATGTGAAGGATTCATAATAAGGTAAAAATAAAACATTTTTTTTGTAAAGGCAATTTTGAATAAGAATGCTTGTAATGATTAATTTGAAATAATTTAATTCTTCAAAATTATTATTAAATTATAAAACTTTTGAAAATTGGGATTAACATTTAACAAAAATAATATTTGATCAATATAAAATAAGCGTAAATATTTGGGTATGGCTCTGTATTTAATTTCGTCCTTTCTTCAAATTTAGGGAAGATTAATAATTTCGTCTTATTCCAACTCTGGCAATCCGCACAAGTCGTCTTTCCTTAGAATACCAAATGTTTTTTAGATGATTACGGGTGCGGAATTTTCCAAATTCATTTTGTATTTCAGTTTTCAAAACTTTCCATTGTATCATCGAATTTTGTGCATAAGCATTTTCAACCCATCTATAAATAAAATCCTTTTCTTCGTCTGAGATAGGATCTTGGTCAACTAAACGAAAGGAAAGAATTTAATTAAAGGAATAATAATTAAAGAAACATAATTTACTTACTACGTGGATCAAGTACATTCCACCAACTAATTTTTCGTTGTAAAAAAGGTTAATTTGAACATACTTTAAAAATAAGTATATAATATATATATATTAACTTACTGATGAGAAATTTGTTTGGGCTTAAAAGGAATAATTTTGCTTAATTCTGCAAAAGGATTTTTAACTTGTCCGTTGTATTTCATGTAATCTACAATAATCTTCTCGTTCTAAATGATGGATTCAGATCAATTTTTATTCATAATGCATAAAAAAACAAATCATTAAACGATCATTTAACATACATCTGGATCGAATTTAGACTTCATCGTTATTTTCAATTTATAGGAAAAAATTAAAAATTAAAAAATAGTTGAAAAATCGTTAGACTTCTTTTTATAAAATTATTTTATTTCATTTCTCAAAAAGTTATTGCTTTTATTTAATGAATATACTAGAACTTTGTATGATAATCATTAACAAAAAATGTCAATGATTATTAAGTGAAATGAAACCCTTATGAAACAAATTCGTTGTTTTAATTTTAACAAATATAGTTACGTAATCGGAATTCGGAATTCGGAATTTACAGACCGATTAATCAATGAAACGGTGGAAAAGTCCGGAATAATGCAATTTTTGGTAAAATTTTGAAACGTCCAGAAAATATTCCAAAAATGTATTTATAAGCTATCCGATATAAATCTGCGAAATTTGAAAGTATCATTAAATAAATAATGTTTTATCACAGATTTCTTAAAATATCATACAACTACAAATATAAATTTCAATTCATTACTTGTTTTTTTTTTTAAAATGGCTTGATTTTTGCTCTTATTTATATGTTTGTCAAATTAATTAACAAGTGCATTATTTATTACAAATAACGGAATTGATTTTCATTAATAATTTTAAACACAATTTCAATAAAACTTTCATTTTTGATAACCATAAATGTCCAATTTAGTGCTCCGTTATTGACCCGAATTAAGTTTTCGATTGGGTCGGGTTCTAATTAAGAAACCCGAATTAAAACTCGACCCGTCGAGTCAGGGTCATACGTTTGCTTGACCCGGTGATCGATTGATAGATTAAAATAATGGGAACTTATTTTTTTTTACGCTATCTTACTTTCTAACTTCATTTAATTTGTAACTATTAAAAGAACCTTTTGCAAGAAAGGCCTTCCACCGTATATAAATTTGAAATGCTGGTGAGCATAATTTTGAATTTAAATTAGGATTAGTTTTCAATGCAAAACCTAACATTATGCAAATATTATACAATAAATCGGTTCTGTAACACATGGTTCGGTATAATAAGATTTCGGTATAAACAGGTTCGTTATATCCAGAGTCGACTGTACTCTAAATAGCAATTTAGTTTGGATTATAAATCAATCTGAATCTAAACTAAAATTCTA